CCCAAACATATGTAAAAGGGTTTATGATCAGAAGAACAAAGAAGCAGTGTACCTAAGCCATTATAAAGTTTTTAGAAAGCAAGGAATAGATTTATTTAGTAGATATTGAGGGAAGACATTTATTTAGTAGATATTGAGGAAGATATTGAGTTAACAAAATAAACATATACACAACAAGAAAAATCAAAAGCGCTAATATTTCATTACCAGTGAATCATTGATGGGGCAATGTGCCCTAAGGCTGATGATATTGGTTATGTACATTCATTTTCAACATATTAATCAAAATTAGAGTCCAACACAAATAATGATTCAAGCTATCTATTACATTAGTGTTGAAATACATACAAAATTTGAGTGAGGACTTTATTCACACAAGAGGGAAAATAGAATGTAAGAGAAGCAGAAAAACTCAGGGGAAATAAGTAGTGCATAATGCTTTCTGATGTAAATGATCAAATTTAGTGTACTAAAATAAGTGAAAAAAGAAAGAAAAGGTGGAGGGAAGGAATTCCATGAAAATAGAAGAGATATCAGAGAGTAGAGGAAGGGGATTGAGGGGGAGAAAGGAAGGACTGGGAAAAGGAGGAGCCAGGGACTGAGCCAGACCGAGATCTCCTTCCTGCATATGTGAATATACCATTGTGAATCTCACTTTTACTTATATCCACAAGACAAACATATGCGTGGTGTTTAAATATTCTAGGCTAATGTAATGGGAAACATTGTGTTTATGCTTGCATGTATTTATTGGTTTCCTTTTTCCAATACATTTTTCTTTTTCAAAAGGTGCCCAAGCAAAACTGAACTGAAAAATCTAACACTTGCATCATAATTCTATCTCATGGCACTCTCAGAGGACCCAGACCTGCAGCCTATCCTCTTTGGACTGTTCTTATCCATGTACCTGGTCCCATGCTTGGGAACCTGCTCATCATCCTGGCTGTCAGCTCTGACCCCCACCTCCACACCTCCATGTACCTCTTCCTCTCCAACCTGTACTTGGCTGATATTGGTTTTATCTCCACCATGGTCCCAAACATGATTGGGGGCATCCAGACTCAGAGCAGAGCCATCTCCTATGTAGGCTGCCTGACACAGATGTCTTTTTTTCTCATTTTCAGGTGCATGGATGATATGCTTCTGACTGTGATGGCCTATGACCACTGTGTGGCCATCTGTCACCCCCTGCATTACCAAGTCATCATGAACCCTCGCCTCTGTGGCTTTTTAGTTCTGGTGTCTCTTTTGCTTATCCTTTTGGAATCCCAGCTCCACAATTTGATTGCCTTATACTTTACCTACTTCAAAGATGTGGAAATTGCTAATTTCTTCTGTCAACCTTCTCAGATCCTTAGTCTTATCTGTTTTGATACCTTTACCAAAAATATTGTCATGTATACTGTTGGTGCCATCTATGGCCTTCTTCCTGTCTTAGGGATCTTTTTTCTCTTATTATAAAATTGTTTCCTCCATTCTGTGAATTCCATCCTCAGGTGGGAAGTACAAAGCCTTCTCCACCTGTTGGTCTCACTTGGCAGTTGTTGGCTTATTTTATGGAACTGCCATTGGAGTGTACCTTGCTTCAGCTGTATCAGACTCTCCTAGAAAGTTTGCTGTGTTCTCTGTGATGTATACTGTGGTGACCCCCATGCTGAACCCCTTCATCTACAGCCTGAGGAACAAGGACATTAAAACTGCCCTCATGAAGCTACAGAGCAGGCCATTCTAGTCTCATTATCTCTTTCTTTCTGTAGTTCAGGTTGAAAAAACCAACCATATAGACCTACATTGTCCTTTATGTGACTCTAGGAGTGTGATGGCTTTCATTTCACTTCATGTTTCATATGTAGATATTGCTTCCTTTGGTTTGTGTTTAATTGAATTTTATGAGTATTCATAAACATTTTTGTCATCATCAACCTTTGTAATTTCTGAACAACATTGGCCTCCAAATGAAATGTTACACTCTCTTTCTTAGCCAGGGGTCAGGGTATGGCACCAGGATTAAACCCAGGGTCTTTTAACAAATTGCAATTGTAAAAGATAAGCACTGAATTTTTAAATGATAACAAAAAAAGGGGAAAGGATTTTGCACTGTGTAAACACAAGCATGTTACCATCTGCCAGCATCCAGAGTGAACGAAATCTTAGAGTCCAAATAAATTAAATGATGATGATAATGATGATGATGCTGACAACCACCATGATAATAACAATGATATCTTTCCTTAATGAGTTCTTACCATTTTCAAAAGTGCTACAAGTAGGGCTGGAGTTGTGGCTCAGTGGTAGAAAGCTTGCCTGGCATGTGTGAGGCCCTGGGTTTGATCCTCAGCACCACTTATAAGTAAATTAATTAAATAAAGGTCCATTGACAACTAAAAAAAAATCTAAAGTGCTATACTAACTATCATTAAAAATGAAAACATTAAGCCTTTAGATGAGTACCAAGTTCTAGCACACAGCTAATAAATTCAGGAACTGGTTAAAAAAATCAAATTTTCTGTTTGTAAAGCCCATAAATTGAATCTATTAAGGTGAGAATGAAAGTTTAAATAATCGATTTTTAACAAGGCACTGAAGACTGTTTTAATCAATACATTCTACCACATCTTCTCAGCACCCTCTTGGTTAAGTGAGTCTTTTTCCCTCATAAATTTACAGTTGAATAAGTTGAACGGAATGTGTTTTCTACCATATTCAAAGTCACACTCTTTTTATTAGTTTACCTTTAAACACCTGAAATGTTTACTTTTAAAAATGTACTTCTTTAAAGTGATAAGAGGAATGAATACCTTTTGATAGGAAACCCTTTGCCTGGTCTTTGACAAAATTACCTGCTATCATACCTGGCCCTGGCAGATAAGCACTGTGGTGGCCCTTAATCTGGGGGTTAGGGAGGATCCCTGAAGAAAGCCAGGTGGGGGAGTAAGATGGTGGCAAAGGTCTCCAGCCCTTGGCTCTCCATAGACACACCAGTATGATCAGCTGTGCCCTAAACTACCTTCGAGAGAGCTAAAGTAGTTGGGTCAGAGGATGTGGCACCCATTCTGGGGGTAGTATTGAGTGGAGCTCTGAGATAGCAATGGCCTCAAGTTTTCAGGCAATATCTGGGGAGTTGAGGGTCTTCCAGTCCCAGATATTTCTGTGTGTGTGTGTGTGTGTGTGTGTGTGTGTGTGTGTGTGTGTGTGTTTCTCTTTTAAATTCAGGCATGGGTTGTCACAGTACTCTTAGACTTAAACTGAATTTCCTGAGATATTTCTACAGTCTTTTCCCATCTTTAGATTCCTTAGTGTTTTCCAGACCTGGACATTTTAATAAGGTGTTTCTGGTTTTATTTATTTATTTTTTTGTTTTGATTTTGTATTTTTTCCTGATGGACAAAGTAGGACTTAAATAAAGAGTGGTCTGTTGCAATATTCCCTCCCCAGAGCTACCTGGCTGAGAGACCCCCATGCTGTGGAAGTGAAGTCAGTTCATCCTTAACTTTTGTGAATAACGCTTTAACACATGCCTACTCAAGTTGCATATGGAGGGCAGGGTGCATCTGGAGAACTGAGAGAGAATGTGAAGAAAGCCAGATGGCAGGTATTGAGAGGTGGATGGGGTAGAAGAATCTACTGGCTGAGGCATTTAGAATGACTGTGCCATAGGACAAAAGAATGCTGTTTTTCACTTGAAGTCATTTCATAGAGGGTGACACGGACAGGACACTCACACCACAGCCAAGGAAAAATTTACAATACGTGACATGTTAAAACTGAGGGTAGCATGTAATTTGTTCTTATCCTAATTCTCCTCCTATGATGAGTACCTGAAGAAAAATTAAAACCAGAACTTCTTGCATTCTTTATTAGATATCTCCAATTTATAAAAAATGCATGTCTTCATTATTGTATACATTTACTTTTGTAGAACTGTTTAAAATCTATATTTTATTCTATAACTCTTAATCTTGGGAGGAAATAATTCCATTCTTCATCATATTAAAAACAAATAAGCTCACATTTCTTCTCTCAAGAGTTTATGGAGCATACTATAGAAAGTCAAGCAATCTAGGGAGGAATTGAAATACTGGATGTATGTCTATAAAATATAAATATTTTGTATTTTAATAGGATATTGTGATGGCTAATTTTATGTATAAAATTGGTGGGCTATTGATGTCTAGATTTTTGATCAAACATCATCCTGGGTATATGTGTCTGTAAGTGTCTAATTATTTTAGTTGAGTTTATCCTTTTAGTCGATAGACCAAGTAAAGCAGATTGCCCCTGCCCTGTATTGGTCTGTTTTCTGTTGCTATAACAAAGTATCTTAGGCAGAGTAACCTATACAGAAAAGAAAGTTTATTTAGCTCACAGTTTTGAAGACTGAACTTCTAAACAGTCTGGCACTGGCTGTACTGAGAGCCTCAGGCAAATGAGATTACAATTGTGCAAACATCTGTGAGGCAGAGAACCCATGGCAAGGCAGGACACCAGAAAATGAAGAGGGGCCAATTGTATTCTTTTATAGGAAACCTGAAATATGATGCCATTTATCACATCTCACAGGGATGTCCTGAACAATGACATATATTCAAAACAAGCTTTATTTCTTCAGCACATTTTGAAATGTTACAATTGTTGACAAATCTCAGCATACATTTTTCCCCCTGTTACAATCACTCAGTGTTCACTCAAAAATAGAAGTAAATCTAGTTATTATAATGGAGTAAATTTCATATGGGCAATAAGCTGGATAGTTACTACAGGACAAAGGCCAAGAGGGGACACTGAGCCACAGAGACAGTAACTAAAGGAGCCTGTCAATCACTGAGGACTCAGGAGTGGGAAGGGAGTGAGCACACCCTGTAACTCCAGCCTCATAACCCTCTGAAATGTGATGAGGAGTCAGAGCTAACAAACTGAAAAATGATGTGCCCACAAGGTAGAATTCCTAGGTCTAGGTGTTACTACTCATGGCTTCTCCCACATACATTCCATGGAGCAGCTCAGGTCCTGATGTAGACTTTTCCACTGTGGAACCTCCTTAGGGCATTTTTAATGTCCCTGTTCCTCAGGCTGTAGATGAAGGGATTCAACATGGGGGTGACAATGGTGTACATCACTGAGGAGGCCACACCCTTTCTGGGAGAATGTGAAACAGCTGACCCAAGGTACACCCCAACACTTGTTCCGTAAAATAAGCCAACAACTGAGATATGAGAGCCACAGGTGGAGAAGGCTTTGTACTTCCCCCCTGAGGATGGGATTCGCAGAATGGAGGAAACAATTTTGTAGTAAGAGAAGAGTATTACTGAGATAGGGAAAAAACCAAATATGGCACCAACAAAACATGTGACTAGGTTTTTGATGAAGGGTTCAGAACAGTCAAGATTAAGGATTTGAGCCGGTTCACAGCAGAAATTATAAATTTCCACACTATTGAAGTAAGCAAATTGTAAGACAATGAAATTATGCAACTGGGAGTCCAAAAGGCTAAATAAAGAAGACACAAAAACCAAGAAGCCACAGAGGCGAGGGTTCATGATTACTGGGTAATGCAGGGGGTGACAGATAGCTACAAACCGGTCATAGGCCATTACAGTCAGAAGCAGATCATCCATACATCCAAAAATGATGAGGAAAGACATCTGTGTCAGGCAGCTCACATAGGAGATGGCTCTGCTGTGAGTTTGAATGTTCACCAACATCTTTGGAACCGTGGTGGAGATGAAGCAGATGTCAGCCAAGGACAGGTTGGAGAGGAAGAAGTACATGGGGGTGTGGAGGTGGGGGTCATAGCTGACAGCCAGGATGATGAGCAGGTTCCCAAGCACTGTGACCAGGTACATGGCTAGGAACAGTCCAAAGAGGACAGGCTGCAGGTCTGGATCCTCTGAGAGTCCTATGAGATGGAATTCTGTGTTAAATTTTGTGGTTCTGTATTTCTTGGGCATCTTTTGCAAAAAGAAAAAAAAATGTAAAATTGTTGGTGAAAAAAAGAAGTAAGTTAACAGGCACCCAGTACTCCATATATATTTTGAACTCACATATTCACAATTTAAGTGTTCACACTTCAGTTCTGTAAACCCTCAGTAATGTTTCTCAGTTGGGACAAACCCAAACTTTCAACTATCCCAATTCATGGTTTCTGTGTTATTCACTTTCTTGTTGGCACACCTACTTTGGAGAGACTTAAGTTGAACCCTGAAAACCAAGAACATCAGTGATAACAACTCCAAGCTCACATTGCAATATGACCTATTCTTTTGAGAAAATAATAGAGAAAAAGTAACAGTTCCCACTTCCAGAAAAACAAACAGAAACCAACATCACTGTAAAGGAATTTAAGAAGCATTGAAATTTACCTTATTCTTACCTTAAACCAAAGTGCAGTATCTATGTACTTGAAATGCACAATATTACAAAATCTACAAGAGTTAGACTGCATTAGTATAATGCTATTAGAGTTGACATTTGGAAATCAGAATACATAGTTATGTGCCAGTAACTCTTCTTTGTTAGGTTTCTGATTTACTTCCTTTATTCAAGTACTCACTCAAATTTTGATAGTCTTTTAAGAAGTATTTAATATAAAAGTCTTATCTCTGATGGTAATGAACTTCAACTTTACATAAATAGTGTTTGGTTAAATGCACATAATCTTATGATGTTGCTGACCAAATATGATCTTAGTGTGGCACTGTACTGGTCAAGGATCAAAAATTAATGAACTTTGAAGAAATGCTTTTTACTTATTTTATTTCTTCTTAATTTTATTTTTAATTTTAGTTTATTTTTGTTAACTTCCTATAAACTCAGTAGTTCATCTGCTATTAAGACCACTCAAGGCTTTTTAGACTTTTGAAATGCACTAGCTTATATCAACACCTGGATTCCAATATCTCTGTGAAGTGCATACCTCTACTTCAGATGGGGTAGAAGACACACAGCATGACCCAAGGGAAGGACGTCATTTAACTTGTCCTTATTATTCTTAGGATAATTCTTTCAAAATTCTGTGTCTTTTTCCTTATTACTCAAGTTAGAATTTCCCCAAACAATGTGAATGGAGGATAATTGAATTCCAAGCATAGAGATATACTCGCTTTTACTATTAATCACCTACAGTTGTTACCCCTCCAAATTATCAGTCATTATACAATGCATACCCTTATTCTTAATATGCACCATCAAAAATACTCCTGAATTCCCCATGAAAAGGGAAGAGAGGTAGGTGGAATAGGAGAAGGGGGTTGAAGGGGAAGGAGGGAGGAGAGGAAAGGGAAGAACAGTGGAATGAACCTGTCCAAACTTTCTTATGTCCATACATGAATATACCACTGTGAAGTTCACCTTGATGTATATCCATATTGCATGAAATTTCAAAAACAACTATAAGAAGTTGGAAGAAGAACCAATAGCTGAAGGAGAAGTATAGGAAGGGAAGAGGGGAGATAAGGGGAAGTATTGGAACAAGCTATATCCTGTGCTTGTGTAACTACATCAAAATGAACCCCCACATTATACAACTGTGAATAAAATCTTAGTGTATTCCACAAAAATATTCTTGTCTTTTCCTCTTTAAAATTTATCATTGTATTTTTTAATCCATGTCAGTTTAAATTTATATGTGTTTTAAAGTAAGGTTTGAAGTTCATTTTTCCTACACATTTATTCAATTGTTCCAGAAGCATTAAATGCAAAGGAGAAAACGTCTTTTCTTCATTGAATTTTCTTGGTACCATCACTGAAAATGAATTGATCATACCTGTCTGGGTCTATTTTTTTTAATTCCTGACATCCATCTAGTAACAATTCTTCCAAGATAAATCAAAGAGAAATTTCATCCTGCGTGGGTGATAATATTCCCATTTGGCTCCAATACGAGGGACGTTGCCATGGGATGGGAGGTAGAGAGTCAACACTCAGTCCCTCATCACTGAACTGCTACTATATGAAGAATGAGGGTAACTTTCTCCACACCTCTTTTCTCAGTATGAAGAATAACGCTCATCTCCAAAACACTCATGCTACATATCTAAGTTTGGAAACTAATATGTATTTAATCATCATGGGTTCTGTTCAAAAAGTGAAGAATTCAACAATTAAACAGTGAATTTGTGGATAAATACAACTATCAAAGTTACTGAATCTTCGGAATGATGCAAAACTCCAATATAGGTCTCACCCCAAGACCTAAAGCTCACCTGGCCACTAATATTTATGTATATTTTTCTTATTTTATTGCATGAAAATCTCTGCCAAATTTTTTTTTTATTGGTGCATTACAGTTGTACATATTTGTGGGATTTGTTGTTGCATATTTGTACATGCTCACAGAATAAATTTGCCCAATAAATGTCAATGCACCTAAATGGAATCATAGGGCCCAGGTGACCATGGCACAGACACAGACAATAGCTATTGTGACCTGTCTCTAGTTCTGTGGCACATTCTTAAAAGAGATGAAAGGGCAGGAAGGGAAATACAAGAACACTGGATACACACTGAGTAGGCCAAGTACTGTGGACCAGAAAAGGGTCTCTTTAATATTTAACAGAGACTTTTCCCTTTTTATGTCCCCTTTTGTGCTAAACAAGGTATAGGTTCTGGGGAAATGGAAATCAGATTAATCATTCCTCTATAGATGTCAGCATATAGTTACACAAGAAAAATAAAAAGTCTTGTTACAAAAATAGGAAATCTGTACCATCAGGTCACAGAATCTTTTACTTAAGTGCTGTGATGACTTAACCTTATCATTACTACAAATAATAACATGCAAGTTTTATTTTTCCCAATTTTATGCATTTAGTACATATTAAACACACAGGGAGCATCAATTATCTGCTTGATCCTTACTCAACACAGTTGTCTCAACTATAAATAAACTGAGAGTCTTACAACTTTCTTTTTCATGGAAATAGTTAAAGCAACAGGATATAAAATTAAGTTCCCAGCTCCGGGTAACATGGACTAATCTATTTCATTGTTTCAGGACCATCTGGAAGTTTTTAGCAGAGGTACAGAGGTCTTCATCAGAGGCTCATATCTGGTACCTATTTCAACTCTTTCCAGTTTCCTGAGTAATGATGAAGCCATTATTAATCTGACTCAAAGACTCCTTTATGGGTTAAGTGGTCTGACTTTAAGAATGTGGGAAGATGTGGACAGCTGCAAGGTCATACTGGAGTGGGAAAGAGAGCAGTCTGTGCTGAATGATGGTGTGTCTTTTCTTTCTATGATCTTTTCCTACAATCTCGGCCATTGTTCCCATAATCACTGCTTCTGGTGACACCTGCTGATCTGTTCTGTGACTTACCAGATACCCGCAAATGTAAGTGCACCCTGAGGGGCAGGTCTCATGCTGGAGTAACAGGCAAGTTAAATGATGGTTAACTCAAGAGTTTACAAGCTAAAAGCATAGCAGGAGTTTCATAAAAATTCTGTTCTCTTATCTTTTCTGTAAAATGATGATAAGGTGCTTCTAACCTGAGAATGACTATGCAGGAAAACTGAAATAATCTACATAGAATGTATAGCCCAGAGCCTGGCACTCTGGAAGCTTTAAATAATGTTTCCTGCTACTATGAACACTATCCTCATCCTCCTTATCACCTTCATAAATCTTTTGGAAAACTAAGGAAACAGTTTAATGGGAGCTATCTTCTGCTATTCTGGAAGGGACGTTTATGGTAAATAGAACAAGTTTGGAAGGAAAGTAAAACTTTGAATGAGATATCTAGGAAATTTGACACAACTGAGAACATAAACTTTACAGTCATCACACCTAAGACTTTTTTTTTTACATACATGACAATAGTGATTTTGCATATCATTATTCACCTATCTGGCTACTCAAAATGAACGTTTGCCGTGATAATGAGGAAACAATACTTTGAACAGACCTTCCTCCATCCTTTACCTCCTCCAGCACTTACTGCATCTCTGATGGATCATGGAAGAACCATGAAGATCTAAGTTTCATCTATTCTCTGATACTCATTGAAGGCTCCAGCTCCATCCACAGGATTGATGCCAGTGCAGTTTCACATAGGATTTCTCTGATACCACCAATCATGGGAGGAGGCACAGGAATGGAGGCCACTGAACTTGGAACCATGAAGCTGAAGGGCTGCAGGCACAGGCTCATTATTGATGATTATATAATGTTGAGGCCCAATGCACAGAGCTGATTATTAGCCAAATTGGTCCAGTTTGTCACTAACACTAAAGACTTTCCCACAGTAATGGGAAGATAGAAAGGAATATTCCACAGAAGTTTGGAGGC